CAACCGAAGTGCATCTTGTGTTCTGAAGAACAAAGCAGAACTTTACCAAAGGTGTTTGCAGTCTTTCTTTATCGAATAAAAGCAGCCTTTAATTTGATAAACAGAATATTAGTTCTGTTCTCTCTTTGTCAAAGATAAATGTGAAAGAGGGTTGACTCTAAGTCTATCTAGGGAACTAAGTAGATGCTATGGACTGAATTGTGTCTCCCCCAAATTCACACGTTGAAGTCCTAATCCCCAGTACTTCAGAGTGTGAGTGGATCTGGAGATAATGTCTTTAAAGAGGTGATTAAGTTAAAAAAGAGGTCTTTAGGGGGGGCCCTCATCTCAGCTGACCAGTGCCCTTATAAGGAGAGAGATCAGGAAGGACACAGAACACTCACAGAAGGGGGCCACGCACAGACACAAAAAGAAGGCCGCCATCTGCAAGCCAAGGAGAGAGGCCTCAGGAGGAACCAAACATGCCAACCCCTTGATCTTTGTCTTCTAGCCCCCAAAACTGTGAGAAGTCAACTTCTGTTTAAGCCCCCCAGTCTGTGGTATTTTGCTATGGCAGCCCTGGCAAACTCATCCAGTGTATTTACAGACCGAAACAAACCGTTGCTTTCCAGAGGCTGGAGCTTGGAGCCTTCCCCACCCAATTCTCATGTGCGAGTTTCTCTGAGGTTCCCAGGGGATCTTTAGGTTCGGATATCCAAGACTTCCAGAAAAAAAAAAAAAAATCGAAAGGAAGGAAAAGCTTTCCGCGGTCTTATTCAGCTACAGATTTCATTTTCAGTAGCTACAGATTCAATATTTTGAAAATTAACATAAGTCATTATGACCTTACTGGGCACCTAAACCGTCTGGGTTCAAATAACAGCTCAGGTGCATGCTGACTGTGACCTTGGGCACGCTTAGACCATGAGCCCCGTGTCCTCATCACTCATTTTCCCACTCCACATTTATTGAACACGGATGATGTCCTTGGCACTGTGCTAGGGAAGCACCAGGGAGAAACAGAGAAAAATCCCCATCCCTGCCCCTCGAGATACTAATGGTCGAATGAGGGAGCTAGACAAGGAATTTCCCCATGAAGCGTTCTTTATCTGCACCGTCCAGCATGGTAGGCACTAGCCACTTGTGGCCACTGAGCACTTGAAATGTAGCTAGCCCGACTGAAGAACGGAATTTCATTTTGATTCATTTAAATGTAAATAACGGCCCACAACCAGTGGCTAAGGTGTGGGACAGCGCGGCGGTGGACCACCCTCCAGGCGCTGCTTGGCAGGCCGGCAGAGAACACCTGCAGAGCTAAGGGAAGCATTCAGGGCCGTGGGAGCACCCAACGTAAAGGTGTCATGTTGTGGTAGTGACTGAGTGTGAAGAGTGAAAAAGAAGAGGATTAAAATAGGTAACACGGGTCCCTGGAACACTGCATATACTCAAAACACACTGATACAATTTCTTTTTTTCTCCCCCTTCTCCCCTGATAAAATTTCTAATGTGCAAATTGTCCATACAGAGGGGGTTAATTAAAAACACTGGTACTGGGCGCCTGGGTGGCTCAGTTAGTTAAGCGACTGCCTTCGGCTCAGGTCATGATCCTGGAATCCCGGCATCGAGTCCCACATCGGGCTCCTTGCTCAGCAGGGGGTCTGCTTCTCCCTCTGACCCTCTTCCCTCTCCTGCTCTCTGTCTCTCATTCTCTCTCTCTGAAATAAATAAAATCTTTATAAATAAATAAATAAAAACACTGGTATTTCACTGTGGGAACAGTGAAATACTGTGGAGCGTAAACAAAGATGAGGAAGGTGTGCATTTACTGATAGGGGATTATCTCCAGGGTATAGTAAGCAAGCTGTCGAACTGAGTTTATAGTATGCTATATATATTTTGTGGACAAAGGTTGGGGAGTTACAAATGCATTTATTTTTGCATAATGAAATATTAGGAAGATACATTAGAAGGAAACTAAAAAGAGTTAACTACAGGAGGGGAACAGGGCAAGGGAAAAAGAAGGGGACAGATATGGGCAGATGCTTTCATTGTAGTTTTAAAGTTTCTTTTAGACCATATGAAATTATTAATATTTAGAATTCATATCTCTATATATCTGATACGGAATAACATAAAATTGATTCAAGGCAAAATGAGGACATATTTTTTAAGGTCAAACTTCTATCTTATATGGATGTAGTTTGTCCTGATGTGCATGTATACCCTAGAAATTACATATTCACCCCATTTTTAAAATCTCAATCTAATTCCTAGCCCTCCTCTGCCTGCCACTCTCCTCTCAGATCATTCTTCCTCTCTAGCCTTCCCGCCCCCAGACTACAGAAAAGAACTACTGGTATTTTTTGAATCTTTGAAAATCATAATAAGGGACAGAATCTGGGTAGATAGTATCTAACTAGATATTAAAACTCTGAGGCTTGAGAACCAGCATTTTAAACCAAAATGTGTACTAAATGATGGTAATAGATCAGGAAAACTCCCACTCTCACCTTGGCCCCCACCAGCTTTGCCCTTTCTGGGGCTTCCTCTCTTTTCTTCCCTCCAGACTCTTGGGCCCTAGTCCTAGAACCTTGTGAAAGGAGCTTGGGCCTGATGGACCAAAAGAGCCAGAAAAAATCAGGGAGGCCCATTTCATAGTTGAAGTATTTCCAAAATTTCCACTAACATCAGGGGCATTTTTTGCCTAGGCTGTTCCTTCACATAGAAATAGAGAGATGGGTACAAAGTAAGGAATGTGAGGTCAGGTCAGGGTTGAGACTAGAACCTGGATGTTTAGTTTCCCAGTTAAACTATTCTGTTTTTCTTTCCTCTCATTATAGCCCCTGGAAAACCATCTAGAATTTCTTTATGAGTGCATATAAACCATTTCCTATAACTGCATGGCTAAAAATGTAATCTTAAATGTGTCACTTCATTTTAAAAGGATGTTAATAAAAGCGATATTGATATTTGCCACAATCCTATACCAAGTGCCGGCATTTTACCTGGAATACGCCTACTGGCTTCTAAACTCCAGAAGTATTACTGTTCTCGGACCTTCAGAAGAGTCACAACGAAGCACAAGGGTGCTTTGTAAATATGTGATAACATGGTCCAGGTGTTGAAGTCACTGAGCCTTTTGTGACTTCCTCCTCTGGATTACAGAATCTGCGCTTTTCATTTTAATGCACTTGTAATGTGCATCCTCGGTCGGTAGGTGGTGCCACGAACCCATCTGTGGTTTAATTAAGGCTTGCCTGAATTCTGAGCACCAATGGCAAATCTTTCATTTATTGTGGTATCCCTGGCTTTTTGCAGATGAGAGGAGTTTGTGAGACTTTTAAGGAATATACATTGACTATGACAACTAGGCAACCAAAGCGGGGAGAGAAGGCAAAATGACCCATTATGCAATTGATCAAGAAATGTGTCTGAGGGGTGGGACAGGGTCTGGCCAGTCTGGCCCCTAGCTGAGTTTCACATGGGGAAGATTAAAACAGGGCTATAGATGGAGGGAAGCAGCCATTAGGCATATGGCATGAGTACTTGTGTGGGAGCCATTATATCTAGAGAGGGAGCTGGAGGCTGAGGAGAAGGGCAGCTTGCAACTTCCCAGGGTTTTCTCAGTGGAGCAAGATATCTCCAGTGGTTGGGGAAAAGCAGCCCGGAGGTCCTGCACTTCCTTAGCACCAGATCCTGCCTCTCCCACATCGTGCACTCCTGCCATTCCAGAATCTCCCACCAAAGACATATTCAGAATCTGCCCTCTCCGGTTGCTTAGCTTAAGCATCCGTGGTCCTTTCCTGGGATCTCTGGCACTCCTCTCAGCATTATCTTCAGCTATGAAAGGCAAGATGCTGTCCAGAAGGTAACCAGAGAGTTCAATTCCAAATGCAAGTAGAGGAATTCCACATTGTTGTCAGCGTGAGTGGGGAGAACCATAGGCAAGAATTGAAGATCATATAGTTTGAGACCTCTCAATGTGTAGAGGAGGAAAGAGGTGCAGGCAAATCACCGGCACAAAAGGGTTCAAAACCCTGGGATTTGGCCTCAATCAAACTATTGCTTTATTTCTGTACTTACAATGCTGGCTAAAGGAAGTGAATTGGTGCTAGTTGTGTGATCTGCTAAACTTCTGATCAAAAAGAACCTTTTGTAGGCCTGTTTTAGATTTTTAAAAACCACTTGCTGATATCTTTCATGTCGATGACCATTGAAGCATTGATATTACTCCTGGTCACTGAAAAGTATACAAAAAATTGTGTCATAAATAATCTGTTTAGCCAGCCGTGCACCTTAGCCAAAAAGAACCATGTGAAAAAGAATAACCAAGCCCTAAGAATTAAACTCTGACTCCACCTCTCATCCTGATTTTTACGCTCTTCCTGGTTCCTTCCATGTGACTCATTTTCACTATGACACTGATAAGAGCAGGAAGGCCTAGTAAAGATCTGTGAACACATAATTTTTTTCAACTTGTCTCTGTGAGGTAGCTCTAAAATGTGAACACTCAGAGGCAAGAGACAGGGTCTATTTCAGTTTTAGATATTGAATCAGTAAGTGATGCCAACAAAGATCCAGGAGGGGCGCCTGGCTGCCTCAGTTGGTAGAGCACATGACTCTTGACCTCAGGGTTGTGAGTTCAAGCCCCACGTTGGGTGTAGAGCCTATTTAAAAATAAATCAAATTAAAAAAAAATTCAAAAGGAGATGTCCCTAAAAAAGAAGAAGAAGAAGAAGATCCAGGAGGCTGACTAGTGCAGGTATCTAGAACAATATAAACCCCACCCTTCTGTGGACCCCTCTTTGCTCAGTTCTTGGCTCTATCATCTATCTAGAAAATTCTTGGTGTCACGAATATGATGAGACAGACTTCTGAGTCTGCAGACTCCTGCTATCCTGGGATGATAGCATCCTGATTTACAGGATGAAATCCACAGGATGAAATTTATTATTCCAGAACATGACTGCAGGAACTCCATAAGGGATGGGACTTCACACAGAAGACTGGAGACACTCACATTTTTATATAAATTATCTTTTATTTCTGTAGCATACAAAAGGTATAAATATGATTTCTGTAAAACCAATCGCCTGCACGTTCAAGCAGAGAGTACATGAAGCTGGGACATAGATGTCTCGGAGCCAGACAAAGCGGGAGGAAGCAGGATTAGATCCAGTCGTCCCGTCAGGCTTTCCGTTTTCAACGAGGGCAGATTAGACAGTCCATCAGGACGGTGGCGCGAGAGGTCTGAAGGGCGTTAGGGCACTTCTATGAATGAGGCACTTGATAGGAAGCATGCCTGAGATGGAAACCAAGCATGTCAAAACAAAGCAAACAGGCCTCGCCAGTGGGGGATGGGCAAAGAGTCTTTTCATCTCCCACATCTCTTTCCTTCGCATTGCTATTTGATGTGGAGCAAGGAACAACAGGAAGCGGGGACGAAAAGGAAGTCTGCAGAAGGGAAACATAATCGCACAACAGCCCTGACTCCTTGCCCCATGCTGGCAACAGCTCGGCGCACAAAGGCTTGGGAGTGGGACAATGCTGAATGTAGGACTCACAAGGTTCTTGGATTCTCAAGAGTCAGATGCATTCTGAGACTGGTGAACTGGTGGCAAGCAGAGTCATAGGATTTGTTGGGAGGTGCTAATAATCTGAAAGACTTGGCAAAACTCTTATGATCTGTGAGGAAAACGGACAGGAACATGATGGGTACCAGTGAGCCAGGCTTTAGGGAGCTGATAATATTTCTGTTAAGAAGAAAGGTCCAAAGCTCTGCCTAACACGGTCTGCAGAGCTCGGTCACCAAAGCCTCCCTGCCACCTCTCTGGATAATGACAATGACAAGTTTCGATACACAATGTTCTCTTACCTCTTACATGGTCTACAGGTGTATGTGTCCCTCTATACTATGACTTCATAGTAATATAGCTGTAAGAGGCACTCCTGGATTGAAAATGAAGGCAACTGTCAAATTACGCTCAGTCTTAATTAGACTAAGTCACCTCTAGAGTTTATGCTTTCAGCCTAAACTGAAATTAAGACAATACATTTCTCACATCACTGATCACAAAACTTGGCCATAGCCGCTTTGACTGAGATTGCTGCTAGCCAACCTGCTCTGAGGAAAGAGGGGGAAGTAGGGGACAGTGACGTCAGTACCATCCAAGCCCCACAAGGAAGGCAAGCCAGCTCTAACAATACCACACTCCCTCTGACAGAGACCACACAATACTAGATGTGTTTCCAAGAGAGCGTAAGTCGGCTGGTAAAGTGGCTGACGTCTTCTCCCATGGGTACTTTGGGTAGGACAGCAGAATTAAGCTACCTGTGTGGACTCAAAATAATCACTGATGTGGGGTTTTCCCAGCTCTGAAGGTAAATGATACTCTAGAAACCACCATCACCAAAACAAGGTAAAAGCAAAGCTTACTTAAAAAAAAAAAAAGTAAAATAAAAATAAAAATTTTTAGAAGCCCCACGTTGGGCATAAAGCTTACTTGAAAAAAAAATAAAATAAAAAAATTTTAAGGGGTACCTGGCTGGCTCCATCAGTAGAGCATGTGACTTTTGATCTCAGGGTCGTGAGTTTAAGCTCCATATTGGACGTAAGGCTTACTTAAAAGAAATAAAAATAAATAAAAAATAGAAAACAACGTAAAAGCTATGTGGATGTAGCCGAGTACCTTTTTGGATCCAGTCTGTGGGACTGTTGCTTCCTAGAGATACCCATTTCCCACTCATATGATGTCACGACCACGGGCCCATTCTGGAAGATGCCGAGGCCCATCGTTTACAGAAATATCCCTGGAGCCAGGGCCCCCAAACCAGCCCACAGGCCAAATCTGGCCTGCTGCCTGTTTTTGTAAATAAAGTTTCAATGGAACACAGCCAGACTCACTGGCTTCTGAACTGGCCCTGGCTGTGTTTGTGGTACAACAGAGCTGAGCAGCTGTGAGGGACTCTCTTGGCCATTTACAGAAAAAGTCTACAGACCTGAAGACTAAAGGCAATTTAGGGAACTCTCCCACTCTGAAAAGGTCTTCCAAAAAAAGACCCCGGTAATTAATCATTAGAACGTGATTCTTGCTGCAAGTTTCCAAGCATAGGAAATCTGACTGTTGAGGCACAGAATCTTTGGGCAATCACCTCAGGAGTTACCAGTGTGCTCTGGACAGGAACCTTCTGTGCTCTGAACCATGTCTCACCCATGTGAAGCTGTGATCCCTGACCGGGTCTGTGAAACCCAGAGAAGTTGAGTGTGTGTGTACATACGTGCGTGTGTACATATACCCCTAAATACATGTACACACGCACGGATAAACATATACATACATTCGGGGATTGCTCCCCAAGGAGTGGGCTGTCGCTCTTCATGTCCTGGGGCAAAAGCAGAGGAGGCAATATCCGCTCCTGAAAGCTCTGAATGAGAAAGCTTGGCACCTGCCGTTTCTCTCATTCACATGCCAGTTTGCTGTCAAAGCTAGAAAGCCCGATGGCAAAGGCCTGAAGTGCACACAGCGGGTAGTTGTAGTCCAGGGTGAACACATCGTCTGCCACACGTCCAAACTGCATGACTATGTAGTCAGCTAGAAACAGAAAGAAATTAGGACATTAGAATGTAATGGAGCTGTACCGGGGAAAAGCCTACTTATAATACAGGGAAAAATCCTCCAAATGGGTCAGACAATAACCAGGTCTCTTTAAAATGGGAAGCCTTGAGAAGGATGGCAAGAGGCACTGACAAGAGTGTCTGCTAACCATGAGCCAAGTTTCTATTACTATTCCTCTCAGAGAGCAGGAGACGAGCCCGGACTAGCATGAAAGGGCCAGAGGAGGGAACAGCACAAGATCCAAGGGCTAGACGTGCCGAGGAACCTTTACTGAGTGGAGCCATTGCATCTACTTCCCAAACAGTGGTTCAGAAGTTTTACTTTAAAACTGCCACTTTAGGGACGCCTGGGTGGCTCAGTGGGTTGAGCGTCTAACTCTTGATTTCGGCTCAGGTGATGATCCCAGGGTCGTGAGATCGAGCCCCATGTCTGGCTCCATGCTGGGCATGAAGCCTGCTTGAGATTCTCTCTCTCCCTCTCCCTCTGCCCCTCCACCCCAAAATACAAAAATAAGTCTTTAAAAAATAAAAATAAATAAATAAAACTGCACTTTAGTCTTTCCAAAGAAATAATTTCTTTCTTAAATAATTCTCCCCTGAATAGAACTTCCTGTCAATGATAGGAAGTGCTCATTTCCCCACCATGTAAGAACATCTTTCCTCCTATTCCTGCCCAACCCTTCCTGCAGGCTTACGGTCATTCTCGTGGACTATCTGAAAGTTCTTCACAGATGCCTGAGTGACCCGGCCATGGAAGTTTAGGACGTAGGACTGCGTGTCATCGTTCCAGACTGGGGCCTTGTTGTGCAGTTCAATCAAGTTCTCCATGGTTTTGTTTTGCCATTTGGAAAGCAAGCTCTCATGGTCCTGTTTGAAGAGAAAATTATTGCTTTGTACTAAGAACCATAGGAAATCATTCGCTCTCAACTCTGTGAGATAGAAGGGGGTGTAGGGGAGTATTTTCTCCGTTTCAGGAAGGGTACAACAGAAACAAAGAAAGCCAAAAGTTAAGGCAGATTTTAAAATTCTGATGGATTATCTAGCATTTCTCTTTGCAGACAAAGCGGCTTCAAATCAACCACTTTTGCAACTACTCTGCAACTTACCCTGCTGTTCTGCAGTGATCACTGTCCTAAATAAGGGTATGAGCCATACTCCAACTTGGGGTTCTCCAAGAATCAATACTTTTTTGTATTGATCTTGTCTGTATGTATTCTTGTCCTTCAGACTCCCTTGCTGATTAACTATGTTCTTACTTACATTTCGTGGCCGAAAGGGGATCCGTTCGTGATTCATATTCATCCCTGGAATGATGACAGACATTTTCCTAGGACCTTTAAATCCAAGTACATTTGTTTCCTGGAAGATAGGAGAATAAGGCAGGGACTCAGGAACAGAAAGGAAAAAGAGACCCCATTCTTAACACAAGATTTTCTTGGGCATGTAAAATGTCCAATGATGATGTCAAAAACACCAAAAACAATTTTATTTCTTTACTGCAGGTAAACGAAGAGAGACAGGGAATCAAAAAAAGAAAAGCAATACTGTACCTCCTTTTAAACCTAATGTGAACACTTGAATTTAAAACAGATTCTATTGGCTTGAAACTTTATTCTTACTCTTGAGTCTTAAGTGAAATTTGAGACAATTGTGAGCAAACTGTCCAATTTTGTCATCAATAAATATTTATTTCCCAATGAGGGCACAGCACTAGATGATATACAGTGAGAATTATAGCTTAATTTACATAGGGACTGTACCAGGAGGTAAAAAATTCAAATGCCAGGGCGCGTGGGTGGCTCAGTCGTTAAGCGTCTGCCTTCGGCTCAGGTCATGATCCCAGGGTCCTGGGATCGAGCCCCGCATTGGGCTCCCTGCTCCGCGGGAAGCCTGCTTCTCCCTCTCCCACTCCCCCTGCTTGTGTTCCTTCTCTCGCTGTGTCTCTCTCTGTCAAATAAATAAATAAATAAATAAAATCTTAAAAAAAAAAAAAATTCAAATGCCTATGTCCACATAAGGAATATAGTCACCAGTATTGTAATAGCGATGTATGGGGACAGATGGTAGCTATTCTGGTGATGAACATAGCATAATGTATAAACCTGTCAAATCCCTAAGCTGTATACCTGAAACTAATGTAACATTGTGTGTTAGCTATACAAATTTAAAAAAATAATACTGTATTGTATATATGAAAGTTGCTAAGAGAGTAGATCTTAAAAGTTCTCATCACAAGAAAAAAAACTGTAACCATGGGTGGTAATGGATGTTAACTAGACTTACTGTGATGATCATTTTGCAATATATACATATATAAATTCATTACATTAGGGCACTGAGGTGGCTCATTCAGTTAAGCATCCGACTCTTGGTTTTGGCTCAGGTCATGATGTTATGGGTCCTGAGATGGAGCCTAGCATCGGGCTCCGCACTAAGCGCAGTCTACTTGGGGATTCTCTCCCTCTGCCCCTGCCCCACTCACGTGTGCACGTGCACACATGTGCTCTCTCTCTCTCTCAAATAAATAAGTAAATCTTGGGGTGTCTGGGTAGCTCAGTCGTTAAGCATCTGCCTTCGGCTCAGGTCATGGTCTCGGGATCCTGGGATCGAGCCCTGCATTGGGGGGGGGCACTCCGCTTCTCCTCTCCCTCTGATCCTCCTCCCCCCTCATGCTCTTCTTTCTCTCAAGTAAATAAGTAAAATCTTTAAAAATAAATAAATAAGGGCGCCTGGGTGGCTCAGTCGGTTAAGCGTCTGCCTTCGGCTCAGGTCATGATCCTGGGGTGCTGGGATTAGGCTCCGCTTCTCCCTCTCCCTCTGCCTGCCACTCCCCCTGCTTGTTCTCTCTCTTTCTGTGTCAAATAAATAAATAAAATCCTTTTAAAATTTTTAAAATAAAAACAAATAATATTTTTTATAAATAAAAAAATAAAATCTGTGCACATCTGAAACTAAAATGTCAATTACACCTCAATTAAAAAACAAAAAGAGGGGCGCCTGGGTGGCTCAGACAGTTAAGTGTCTGCCTTCAACTCAGATCATGATCCCAGAGTCCTGGGATCGAGCCCCGCGTTCAGCAGGGAGCCCACTTCTCCCCCTCTCTCTCCCTCTACCCCTCCCCCTGCTTGTGCTCTCTCTCTTTCACTCTCTCAAATAAATAAATCTTAAAAATCTTAAAAAAAGAAAAAGAGAGAGAGATCAGTCTACTTTGTTGTAACCTGGCCAGTGGGTAAAAGGTGATGAAGGGCCAAGTTAATAAAATGGCATTAGGAAAATGAAAGAGCAGGTAAGACAAGAAACGTTAAAAAAAAAAAAAACTTAAAAAGAACCAAACTTGGCAATTTGTAAATGATTAAAACTTGAATATATAGAGAAAAAAGCAACCAGCAACAGAAAAGGAGGGTCACAGAAATAGCAACAAGCTTGGGAGGGAAGACCGTGAGTTCAATGTTGGTTATGTTTAAAGTGCCAGCAGGACACCCAGGAAATCAGGGAAAAGATTCGGGAAAAGAGTGCATTACGAGAATGGCACATACGTAACAGATGGCTACCAGCTCCTGCCGGATATGGGCCTTCTCTACCAGACCTTGGGCCTTGGTTGGGCTGACACCATGGTCATAAACTGTGAACTTGGTCCCCATGAGGTTGGATCTAGAATCAAGAGGAAAAAGTCACCATTGATTATCCATATTTTTTTCTCCTGCACAAATACAAATCTAGGACAGGTATGGAATAGAATGGAAGCCCATCTGCCTGTTCTCCAAATGTTCATCGCCACTGTTTCAAAGATCTCTCATTAAAATTAAAGGAAGGGACTTAGATTTTCTGTTAACTTCTTTTTTTGTTTTTTAAGATTACAATATCAATACATACTCACTGTAAAAAAAGATACAGATTGCTCTGAAACTACAGGAATAAAAATATCAGCAAGAATAGGTCAGTGATACAAGGTTGCTCTCACCTGAGTTTGCCAATATAACTTGCCCCTTCACGAGATAAATCTGTTGGATCAGTGGAGATAAGGTAGTTGGATGTTTTGCTCTTTTTCCGCTTCCTACCTGCGAGAAGAAATATCTGGAAAAAGAAAAAAAAATGTCCGTCAAGAATATCAAGACAACCACCACGGTCTAACTATTCACTTAACAAATGTTTAGCAAGTGCCTATCATGTGCCAAGCAGTCACTCTTTTGGTCTTTTTTGCTTTTAACAGGCTTAATTCACCTTCATTTTTCTTGTATACAAACTACGTGGTGACCACGGCAGGAGCTTGGGTCTTCTGCACAGAACCTCTGGTATGGGTCTTTACAAGACGGTCAGTGAACTCCCGAGACGGGGCCTTGGTGAACACGGTCTCTTTCCAGAGGTCGGGATGAGACAGCTGTAGGTCTTGGAGATGGCATCCCAAGTGGCCTTGGCGACATTGCCCGGGTGGCTATGCAGCCCCCCGTGGAGGTACAGCAGCCCACACGGAGCCAGGGCCCCTGGGGCCGGGGATGTGACATACCACCAGCACAGAGCTGCAGCGTCCGGTCACCTTACAAGGGACGGTGTGGAGCTTGCTGATCTCGTTCTCCCAGAGGCCTTGCTGCACTGGGACTAGAAAACGTGGCCAGAATGATGGTCCCACGGATGTCAGCGTCTACCTCACTGGAGCATTTAACACCGACCCAGGTGTCTGCTGGGATCCCTGATGGTAACACATGCCTCGAACCTCGTCTGCCCACCAGCATGGGTCTGCTTTTGCAATGGCATGGTCTTCAAAAACCTCATCCTTGAAGGACGATCCCAGGGAAACCTCAATGACCTCAGAGTCCCTGATGGACAGGCGGACCAGGGACCTGAACTTCATGTCCTTGCGCAGACAACTCAGGCTGGTGAGAGGCATCCACTCCTCATCCTTGCTCTTAGTGCCATGAGCTCCTTGGCCTTGACGGCTGTGGAGGCCGTGCAGCCGTGTGGCCTCCCATCCCAGGGCCTCCGGAGGCACCAGTCTCACCTGCCGTTTGGTGTTTTCTTGGAGAAGACCAATCTTGGGGCCTTTATCTCTTTTTCTAACCCTTATAATGCTTCTCAGAATTCACTTTCAGGGATTCCCTACTGTACAACTTTTCAAAATTCACTTAGCTGGATTCTCCATATACAACAGACCCCCCTTATCCACTAAGACCCCCGGTGGATGCCTACACCCCCGGTGGATGCTCTACAAACTATGTTTTTTACTGTACATACATATGACAAAGTTTAATTTATACATAAGGCATAGCAAGAGACTAGCAACAATAACATGATAATTCTGACAATATACTATAATAAAAGTTATATGAATGTGGTCTTTCTCTCTCAAAATATCTCACTGTACTGTACTCCCCTTCTTCTCGTGCTGATGTGAGATTTTAAAATGCCTATGTAATGAGATGAAGAGAGGGGGCGTTAGGCTACTATTGACCTGCCGAACCTATGTCAGAAGAAGGGCCCATCTGCTTCCAGATGGCAGTGACTGCAGGTGACTGAAACCACAGAAAGCAAAACTTGGCAGGGGGCGGGGGGGGGGTGGCTACTACAACTAGGTGCAACTTTATCCCTAAAACCTCCAGTGGTTTTTTCAAAAAAGCTTCATCCGATTTGGCGAGGAAGGGTCCTTCCAACTTCAGGAGAGACAGGACGCTGAACACCCACCCTTCCCATTCTTTACCGCGGCTGCTTTCCTCATATTCCTTTTGTATTTTTTTTAATATTTTATTTATTTATTTGACACACAGAGAGAGAAAGAGAGAGAGCAGCAGAGGGAGAGGGAGAAGCAGGCTTCCCGCGGAGCAGGGAGCCCGATGTGGGGCTCGATCCCAGGACCCTGGGGTCATGACCGGAGCCGAAGGTAGACGCTTAACGACTGAGCCACCCAGGCGCCCCGTATGTTGTTGTTTTAAACCCCTGTGACTTCAGTGGCATGAATACTGTCATACTTGTGCATCCTTCCCAAACCCTACTGGATTTGGACAACAACAGGGAAGCAGGAGAATGGCAGCAGCTAAGGAAGGGACTGTGGGCTCAAACAGATAGGGGTCTGACTCTGGCGCTGGCACTTATCAGTATGATTTGGGGCAGGTATGTCACTCCTTAAGCCCCAGTTACTCATCTATAAAGCAGGGATAAGAAAGCCTCTCTTACAAGGTTGTGATAAGGATTATAAGAGATAATATATACACGAAGCACTTAACATATGCCTGGTACATCATAAACAATAAATTAGCAGTTATAATAAGAATGGTATCAATCATCATCTCCTTTCTATGCTCTTAATATCATCCACTTAGACCCGGTAGCAAAACAAAATACAGTGTTCATTAGCAAGTATTAAATTGCCTCAAAGTTGTGTTTAAAGTAAATTAGAATTTCTAGAGTGAGAAATAAGACATTTCACTTGCATGTCTTTCTCTATTTCCAGTTCCCTTATTCCCTAAAACTTGCACAGTGTCATGTTCCACCATAATTAAAATAAAAACCAAAGAACGCACAGTAACACCCTCCCTTCCACAGAAAAATAGGATAGAGGTGCAAATAATTACATTCAAATATTCTCTTCCATTTTCTTATATTCTGGATAAAACTCTTTTTCTTTGGGGTGGGGTAGATTTTACCTCTGAGACTCTGAGCTCCTTGAAGACAGAACACAGTAACTGGGAGTTGCTGACTTGGTCTGAAACCAGTGCTATTTTCCTATCCCAAGATCCTTCAACAATCTAGTCCCACAACATTCTCCCCCTCTAGCTCAAGATCTATCTTAAGAATCAATTCTCATACCTTCCGATTTTCATCCTTTTCCAAGTGCATATAGTAAGTGGGGAAGAGACCCCGATCCATTCCTTTTTTATCCCTGGTTATCCGACACTTGACTATAATCCCCCGAGGGGCAGGACTATATGCAAAGTCCTCTAAGTTCTCCACTTCTCCCAGCTGGTTATCCGTTTGTTGGACTGCAGTACCGGAAGCTCCCGCATCCTGAAAGAACAGCCATGAGCAATAGGAGGTGGAATAGAAAACTTATTCTCTTCCAGAAACAACGGGCGAAATAAATTCGTGATTTACCCCAATGTCTCTAGTCTTCTGAAAAAATAAGGGGAAACTCTGCGAAGTTAAATAAGTATGTGAATATTGGGAGTAATGAAGGAGCGAAGTACAAAAGTGGGATATAACTTCACAAGAGCTGGCTTGAGACACAAGAAATTAGGGAGGTCATGAACTTCAAGTCTAAATTTGAGCTTCAATCTTTCGAAGGAACCCTCATTCAGTAATCGTGTTTAAATACTAGAGATACATTTGGGAAATAGTTCCCCAGGAAGAAGTTTCAGAACTACATACTGTGGTTGATTTCTGGCTGGATGCAGAACTGGGTCTCTCTGCCTCTGAATATGGTGAATGACATAATTTTTTCCCTTCTTCCTCTCCATCGGTCTCCTCTTCATCGAAGTTCAAACTACCTGAGATACCTGGCAGAAAGGAAGAACTGTCAAAAACTGCCAACACTGGTTTAAAAAATAAATCGTCGAACCAAATATAATTTTAATTTTCTTGCTTAAAACATTCCAGCTCTTCTGATTAAAACATAGCTACTTCATCCAAATTTTGACAATTCTTTCTTCGTATTCTCACTCAGACCTATCCCTTCTTTTCCCTTTCCATAAAGGATTAATATCCAGAATAGATAAAGCACTCCTACAACACAGACTCAGCAACAACAACAAAATAAACAACAAAACAAATAGCCCTTTACCCAGAAATGGGTAAAGCACACGAATAGACATTTCTTCAAAGAAGATATATAAATGGCCAATAAGCACATGAAAAGATGCTCAACAGCACTCATCATTAGGGAAATGCCAATCAAAATCACAATGAGATACACTAAAAAGCTCTGGGATGTTTATTATCAAAAAAAGCCCCAGAAAATAAGTATTGCCGAGGATGGGAGAAATTGGAACCCTTGTGCATTGCTGGTGGCAGCGTAAAATGGTTCAGTCACTGTGGAAAACAGTATGGTGGTTCCCCATATATTCAAATATAGAATTACCACAGGATCCAGCAATTCCACTTCTGGGTATATACCAAGAGGATAGAAAGCATAGACTCAAACAAACTTGTACACCAATGTTTCACAGCAGCAGTATTCACAATATCCAAAAGGTGAAAACAACCCAAATATCCATCAACTGATGAACAGATAAACAAATTATGGTATATACATACAATGGAATATTACTCAGCTTTAAAAAGGAATGGAATTCTGACACAGGCTACAACATGGGTGAACCTTGAAGGACCTTATGCTAAGTAAAATAAGCCAGTCACAAAAGAACAAGTATTTTAAAAAGTGCAAATGTATGATTCCACTTATGTGAGAAATCTAGAGTAGTCAAATGCACAGAGACAGAAATTTCATAGAATAGTGGTTACCAGGGAAACAGGGGACAGAAGAATGGGGAGTTATTACTTAGTGATACAGTTTTATTATGGGAACATGAAAAAGTTCTGGAGATGGATTGTGGTGATAGTTGCATAACAACGTGAATGTACTTAGTGTCACTGAACTGTACACTTAAAAAAAACGGCTAAAATGGTAAATTTTATGTAATTGCCATTTTATTACTTGTTTTGTGGTTGTTTCTGAAGATTTTTCTCTAATCCTTTCTTGTCCTTCTCCCTTTCATGGTTTGCTGGTTTTCTTTAGTGATATATTTGGATTTCTTTCTCTATTCTTTGTGTGTTTATTAGTGGTTTTTGATTTGTGGTTGCCATTAAGTTTGTATATAGCATATAGCAATCTATATTAAGTTGGTGGTCGTTTAAGTTTGAACCCATTCTTTACTCCTCGCCTCCCCAAATTTTAGGTATATGGTATCATATTTTAAATCCTTTAATTTTGTAAGTTCTGATTTTTTACAGAAATGTTTTTTACTGCTTTTATGTTTCCTACCCTCATACTGTCATTTTTGGTCTTTCCTTTCCACTCAAGAGTCCCCTTTAGGGGTGCCTGGGTGGCTCAGTCTGTTAAGCGTCTGCCTTCGGCTCAGGTCATGATCCCAGGGTCCTGGGATCGAGCCCCGCATCGGGCTCCCTGCTCAGTGGAGAGCCTGCTTCTCCCTCTTCCTCTGCTGCTCCCCCTGCTTGTGCTCTCCTTTCTCTCTCTCTGTTAAATAAATAAATAAAATCTTAAAAAAAAAAAAAAAGAGTCCCCTTTAATATTTCTTGCAGGGCTGATTTAGTGGTTACAAACTCCTTTAGTTTTTGTTTATCTGGGAAACTATCTCTCCTTCTATTCTGAAAGATAGCCTTGCTAGATAGAGTATTCTTGGCTGCAGGTTTTTCCCACTCAGCACTTGGAATGTATCATGCCATTCTTTTCTGGCTTGGAAAGTTTTTGCTGAAAAATCCGCTGAATATCCTTATGGGGTTTCCTTTGTACGTAATTGTTTTCTTTTTACCTTGCTGCTCCTTTTACTTATTTGAGAGAGAGAGAGCAAGTGAGAGAGTGAGCATACAGGGAGGAGGGGCAGAGGGAGAGGGAGTGACTCAAGCTGATTCCACACTGAGTACAGAGCCTGATGCAGGGATCATCCTCATGACCCCGAGATCATGACCTCAGCCAAAACCAAGAGTCAGCCACTCAACTGACTACACCACCCAGGTGCCCCTGCCTTGCTGCTTTTAATATTTTTTCTTAATCACTATCTCTCTGGGAAATGCTCCAAGATGAACAAATAACTTCCCTGCTGTGTGCCCTGGGCACTCTTCAGATCGCTGTTTCCATTCTGTACGTCCACAGGTTGTTTGCTGCCTTTCCTCCAAGAGCAGCACAGTGCCCTCCAGGCTCTCCCTGAACCAAGCCCACTGACCTTTAGGACTCTAGGCTTTAAGCCTTGCTGGTTGCAAGAACTCAGGAAATTCAGCCTCTCTTGCTTTCCAAGCCAACTGCTATGGGGATTTGTTTTCCCCCTGAGCTTCCCTGTGTGTCAGTCTGTCTCTTGCCCTTCTCCATGACTACAGCTCCCTCCCCACCACAGCAGCCATGATCCATTTCTCTCCCAAACCATGTTTCCACACTTCCTGCCTTCTTCAGCTGTGGCCTCTTCTCTACCTTTAGTTGTGGAGTATGTTCTGCCAGTCTTCAGATCAATTTCTGGGGTATTCAGGATGATTTAATAGTCATCTAGTTGTATTCGTGAGGCGAGGTGAACCCAGGGACCTCCTACTCTGCTGCCATCTTCCCCTCCCACACCCACTGTTCACTTTAAATGGGTGAAGAGTATGGTATGTTAATTACATCTCAATAAAGCTATTATAAAAAAATTCTTTGGTTTGTGAAGGACATGTTTTCTAAAATGTTAACCTTTTCTTCTTTTGTAGCAAAAAGGCATAAAACCTCACAATCATGGATATTTTCACTTAGTACTATGCTTACAAGTGCCATTTTTATACCAAGAACTCAGCTTATGTGAATATATGTCTTAAGATGGAGATCAAAGATTTCTCCCAAACTTATAGAAAAAACAAACCGGACCCATTTAAGGGACATAATCTGCCAACTGACACATCGTAGATCTTACGAAAGTGCTTAATGGGTCTTATGGTCAAGATGCAACTTGTTGGGTGCCTGGGTGGCTCAGCTGGTTAAGCAACTGCCTTCAGCTCAGGTCATGATCCTGGAGTCCCAGGATCGAGTCCCGCATCAGGCTCCCGGCTCAGCGGGGAGTCTGCTTCTCCCTCTGACACTCTCCCTTCTCATGCTTTCTCTCTCTCTCTCTCAAATAAATAAATAAAATCTTAAAAAACAAAAAAAGATGCAACTTGTTGAGTTGTAAAAAGGCCTTAATCCATCCGGTACTGAAAGGCCAGTTCTTAGGAAAAAAACATAGCAGTCACTTCATAGGCAAAAGGGGACAACTCGGTATTTACAGTAAGGGATATAGAACTAGACTAAGAATCAGAAAAACTAGGTCTGCCACTATTCAGCTAGATGACTTGGGGTAACTTAGCTTCTGGTTAAAGGAAGGTTGTATTTGCTCTGACTCCTCCACATCACTCACTTTCTTTTGTCATAACAACAGTGGTAGTAAAATAATAGGGAAGTGCCACAATCACATTCCTATTACAGACAGGGAAACAAAGGCAGAGGAGAGTGAAGCTGTGCTCCCCCTTTCCCAGCCAGATGTGGCAGAGTTGAGATTCAGAAACCAACAGGACACCGCGTTTCAGAGCTGTGCTCTGAGTCCGCTCACCATGGCCGCTCCCACACCCTGCGCTCCCGCCATCTGTCCTGGTTCTCACAACATAGCACGACTTTTTACCCAGTGCCTTTGCACGTGTTCTTTCTTCCACCCAAGTTTGTCACCTTACCTGCAGTGTGACCAAGGACGAATTACTTAGCCTGAGAGGCTACATATAATTACTTATGTAATACATATAATTTTCTTATATATAAAATGGAGAGACTAATATGTATGAACTCCTCAAAGTACTGTTATAAATATTAAAGTTTATTTATTTTTTTTAGTAATCTCTACACCCAATGTGGGGCTTGAACTCATGACCCCTAGATCAAGAGTCAAACGGTCTTCCAACTGAGCCAGCCAGGCACCCCTATACATTTTAAATTAATTGAGATATCAAGTGCCTGACATATAAGAGATATTCAAAATATCAGTCTACAGCTGCTTTGACAGATGCACCAATACACAGGAGGTCGTGCATCCTTCCTGGCTCAGCTTAATCACTCTCTTTTGATGCCTTTCTTGTCCCTTCTCATTGCCTCAGCAATGTAATTCTATTTCTCCCTGGTTTTTACTCTTGCATATACCACCTTATAACTCTAGGTCAGCCACCAGGCGAACCATCTCCTCCCTAAGTTTTCCTGCTTCCATACTTGCTCCCGCCAACCTCCAATTAATTCTTTATGGTGCAGGGTAATTTTTCTTAGTTTTCCCATTAAGCCCAAATTGGATGATAATATTCCTCAGATTAAATTCCCTCATAGGTTCCAGTTACTCTTCAAATAAAGTCCAAATTCCTAACATGGCCTGTACTGGCCTACATAATCAGAGCCCACTTACCCATCCAGGCTCACTCCTCTAGTACCCTCTTCCCACCTTAGCCGCTCATACCGTGTGCTCCAGCCATTCTGAACTGGCCAGCCCCTCCTCCTGTATCAGGCTGTAGCTTAGACATCACTTTCTCTGGAAAGCTTTCCAAACCTTCAGCTCTGGGTTAGGTACCCCTCTCGATGCTCTCCTGGCTATTTAAGTACATGATGCCTCAATTAGAATAAACACTTCAGGAGGGCAGGACCCTTGTTTACTGCTGTAGCCTACATGCCTGTAACAATGCCTAGTATATTAGTAGATACTCAATACATATTTTGTAAATGAATGAATATGTGAATTTGTTTGAATGTACCTCTGTTCTACCATTCTGTGGTAGACTCTCCTGATTCACACATCCCAGGCCCTACAATGCCTACCTATTATTAAGTAGGCACCCAATAAATATTTATTCATGACCGGGTTTCAGTCTTCTCATCTGAAAAGGGGATGCTTAATTTCTTCCTAGATCTAGAAAATCATTTTTCTAAGAAGGAAAGATAACTACAAGAGATCTCTGAAATGTACAGGAATAACTGTGGAAGTGATAACTCCAACTGGCAGAAAGTAGGCTCTAGTGAGAAAAGTATTAGCTTAAGAATATTTTGATCCAATTTGTGTTTCTCTTCAGCCACTACTTATCTTTCCCCTTATCACTAGATCAATAAAAACTGTGAAATGGAGGCTGAGTAGGGGTGTTGAGTGGCAACTTTGTCAAAAGAAAGGAGTGGGAACTAAAAATAAAATGTCAAAAAGAAATAGCCACATATAGTAGCTGATGCTGCTGATAATTTATATGTAATTATCTTATTTTTCTCAGGTAATAGGGTAAATACTACCATGGCTGATAATAGTCAATTCTCAGATGTCAAAGATACCTAATACTGTCACCTCTGTAAAGCCATAAGCCATATTCCAAGCAGTTTTGAATCATCTAGATAGTTAACCGACAATGAAAGAAAGGAAAGGAAAAGATTATTATATGTGGCTAAGATGATTAACTGCCTTACAATCATTACCAATCCTCACCATGTTTTTGGAGAATCTCCTGGAGATCTGGCTTGGACACAGTCTCCAAAGTGCTTTCCCCATCAACACTTCCTTCTGTATCCTCTTCTGTAGCAGAAGCGCCTACTGAGAGAACATGAAGTTTGGTTTCCAAATCTTGAGCATCTGGCTTCAAGAAGGCCGCTGGACCATCAATGCCTACGGTCCAAAAGAGAGGAAAAAGAGGAAAGTATTATCTGTTATTTGGCAGGGTGGTTTTGGTGTATGTGATCAGAATTAAGAACCACCAAAGCATTTCACTTCTCATTCCTTAACATCCACGCAGATGTTTGTTAGTAGAGTAACTCAGACTGGTGTTCATTTTATTAACATGTTCTGACTGTTACTAAATAAAATGTACTTGATGTCATGCTTCAGAAACTAAAGAATGAGACTGTGAAAACAAAGTAGGTCCGCCAAAGTTCAGATCCTGTCCAAGTCAACAGCGTACCACCTCACGTGGTCCATTGAGTCCTATCTTTTGGAAGAATGGGTGCTCTCTACCACTCCCGGCATCACAGTTAACTTCACCATGATGTGACAATCAAGACTGTAAGTTCCTCAAATAGGCCATTCTGGACTAATTCATTTGGCAATGAAAACAATAGCTCTAGGATGGACACAAACTTCAAGGTATCTTCCACTAATTAAACCACTGCTTTTATTTTAATTCAAAGACCCAGAACGTGATTATGAAAATTTATGAAGGTACCTAGTAACGATGCTAATATTGTCCCTCTGGTCCATCTGAGAATCTTCCTGCCTTCTCCTAGGTTTATGAAGACGGTACCCTAGTGGGAAGAGATGCCACCTAAACACACACCTTGTAGGATGACATCGTTCTGCGGGGTATGAGCTTCCACCAAAGGAGTTTGCTCCTCGCTACCTCTTGGCTTTGATCGACGTACCCTTGCTTCTGGATTTGGCTGTACCATGAGTGGCTCAAGGCGTTTTTTTCTCTGCTTCTTCTCCAGCAGTGCTCTCTAGGGAAAAAAAAAAAATGTGATAGTATAGCCAGGAGAGTTATGACAAGACCTAGCTGCTTTGAACATTTAGTTTTTCACTAATCCTCACAAACCTCTTGTAAACTAGTTTATCCTGCTTGAGACATGGGAAAATTGAGGCACAGAGAGGGACAAGGATTCACTCATTTCATTTAATAAATATTTACCAAACACCTTTAAAGATCTATTTAAAATGATACAAATGCATTTCTAGCCAAGCTGAGGCCATGACCCAGTTTATCTAAAATATTTATAGTAGGGCACCTGGGTGGCTCAGTTGGTTGAGCAACTGCCTTCAGCTTGGGTCATGATCCTGGAGTCCCGGGATCGAGTCCCGCATCGGGCTCCCTGCTCAGCGAGGAGCCTGCTTCTCCCTCTGACCCTCCCCCCACTCATGTTCTTTTTTTCTCATTCTTTCTCTCAAATAAATAAATAAAATCTTAAAAATAAAACAAAGTATTTATAGTAATTATATTATTAACCAAGCATGGTCACAAGTTTAAAATATATGAACAGTTATGCATAGGGGAAAAGATGAAGAAACACAGTAATGGTGATTACTTTGGGTGGCAGAATATGGATTTTTCTCCCTTTTTCTAGTTTTCTATATTTTTTCTAAACTTTCTTAATTTTATAATTGAAAGAAAAAATAAAACTTATTATCCTCTAAACCTCAAATTATTTTCCTATTTCAATCAGCTATAGAGCAGTAAGTTTTGCTTTCTTGCTCATTTTTACATAGTTAGAAATCAAACAAATCTGGGCCAAGGGAAAAAATTACAGTTGGAACATTCCAAATAGTAAGCAATCAAAGCTGTGGCTAAAAGTGACATAGAGAATATGGTAGCAAGGAAAATCAGGAAAAAAAGCATGAGAGACTATGAGCAAAAAATCCAACAAGATGAAAAGGAAGGTACTAGAACATATATTATTTTTAAGCTTTGGCAAATAAGAGTTCATAATACCTGGAAATTAATTATGGATCTGATATATTTCAGAATAGGAAAGTGCCAAGCCCCAAGCTAAAAAATTAAGCCATGATTCTAAAGCAAAGATATTATAACCTACTTTAGTGTTTCTTAGGCAAAAAGCTATTTTTTTTTTCATTGATACTGCTTTTAAAAAGTGCTACTAGAAAGAAGAGTAACTCCAAGGGGTGAGACTATCAGTAGGAAAGGAAATATGTTTTTCCACCATGAGGTTGATGAAAGCTTGTGGATAAATTCAGAGAACACAGAAGAAACAGAACTAATCTTTGCCCAACCTTGTGAATAAGAAAAAAGACTAGGGAGCTAAGATAATGTGCCCAAATGGACTATCCTGTCAAGAAAGAATAAAGGTTAGAGCAAGCTAGGAAGGAATAATTGAAGTTTCTGAGATTATTTTGAAACTAATGAATTAATATGAATAGGTGGACCTTAATGTAAAAGGAACACAAAATATATAATTGGCTATGATGAGCTTTTCCCCACAGAACTTGCTGATATGGTTCTTCTAGCAACTGTGAAGTCTCACATAGGGGATATGCTGAAGAGATGGGAAATATGAAACATAAAGACATGAGAAACTGCCACATCTGCTCTATGTGGCCAGTTACCTAGCCTCATATAGTGTCATAACTGGCAACAACCAAGGAAGCAAAAACACAAGCCACAGCTAATCCTTTTGTTAACATATGTAAAGAACAATGTCCTATGGAAAAGGGGACATATGGGGTACCTGGGTGGCGCAGTTAAGTGCCCGACTCTTGATTTTGGCTCGGGTCATGATGTCAGGCTCATGAGATGGAGCTGCACATCAGGCTTCACCCTCAGGTTGCGGGTGGGGGGGT